ATATTATATTATTTTATTTTATTTTATTTAAATTAAATTAAATTAAATTTTATTTTATTTTATTTTTATTGTACTTTATTTTTAATCGGCTCTTCTTTACTTGAATCACAGCGCTCTCACCCACATGCTGTACCGTGTGTATAAATTACACCAATCGATGTATAGATGTGATGAATAAAGGAGTGTCTATCAGGGATTGGAATAGCAAGTGTACCAAGCAAAATCAAAATGTACGAAACCCTTGCGACATCTCAAGTACACGCTGTTTTACACGCTGTTGAAAAAAGTAGAGTGTACAGAATACATTTTGCCTATAAAATTAACACTTTGATTCTTTTTATAAAAAAAGTGTTTTTTTATTTGAAATAACATTAATACTAATACTACTGGATGATAACATGTTTCGCACGATCTCTTTTCATCAATTTTATTATTGGCCCCATTTTCCTTTTCTTTTCTCCATGAGTGTTTTTTTTTCGTCTATTCTATTCTGTTTTAATTTTGAGGATGCATGAATAAATATAATATAATATAATATAATATCGATATAGATTGTTGTTAATTCAACTGTTTTAATTGCATTAATGATGAAAATTTTTATTCTTTTTATTTTAGATTCGAATGAATAAAACTCAAGTAAAATTATATGAATTGTGGAGCAAAAATAAAAATGAAGTTTTAATTTCAATATCAGAACATGGTCGATCATCATCTTCAGTGGAACCACAACGTGATCGCGATTCATCTTTATTTGTAGTAGAACCGGAACGTGGTTCATCATCATCAGTTCTAGCAGAACCACAACATGGTTCATCATCATCTTCAGTAGCACCACAACAAAATTCATCTTTATTTTTATTAGAACCAGAACGTGGTTCATCATCATCATCAGTAGAACCAGAACGTGGTTCATTATCATCATCTATAGTAGGAGCCAAACTTTATATTCTCATGAAAACAATATTATTGTATTGCAGACAATATCTTTATCATCATCATCAACAACGTTATCAGCCAATCCTGATTGTGAAATCATTAGTGAAGGTAAAGATCATAAATCCGCAAGTTTTTAAATGTAAATTATCATAATTACATTTCTTCTATAAATATAGGCGTTAAAAAACGAGCATTACCATCTGCTCGAACAAAACATCGTTCACAATATTTACACGAATGGGAAAAGAAACCTGAAGCACATTTTCAAACTTATATCTACGATGATTTTGGTGATAAACATGAAAAATTTATGTGTTGGTTATACTTCGACAATAACTCAATGTTTTGTCGTCTATGTCAAGAATTGGGAAAATATAGGAATGTTAATGGTAAGCTGTAAGATTAAAAAGGCATTTGTCTTTGTGATTTCGAAAAGAGTTCAATTGCTATAATAAAATTTGCATTATTTTCTACGAACAAAGACAAGATTAAAGTCCTAAAATAATTTTTCTTTGTACAGGAAAAGAAAATGTATGGTTTAATAGTGGAATGAAAACGCTATCCCTTGATAAAATCAAACAACACAAAGAAAAAAGTGAGGTACACAAGCAGGCGGAAGAGCAGGAGATTTTGCTTTCATCTCGAGTACAGCCAAATTGGCATATAACTAGAGAAAAAGAAGTTGGCAAACAGGAGCAAGCTATTCAACATTTGATGTTTGCTTGCATTTACCTGTGTCAAGAAGATCATCCATTAGCATCGATTGAACCTTTATGTATCTTATTGGAGAAGTTAGGAGTACAATTATTGCCTGCACAAGTTTCAGGTGTGTCATATCGTAATAGTCATGCAGCTATGGGATTTATCCAACATATAGCTAGTTTTCTTCACGAGGAATTAGTTGAAAAAATTCAATTAAGCCCAGTCTTAGGTATGTGGAACTGTACGAAATGTATTTATTCAATATCTCGTCGTATTACTTTGTTTGAGGCTGGATGATGGATGAAACAACAACTCGAACTATTGAAAAAAGTTGTATTGTGCTTGTGCGATATGTTGATAATTTTGAACCTAAAACGGCTTATTTTGGTTTGATGAATTTGGAGGGAGATGGTACTGCAGCTAATATCGTTAAATCAATCAGCAGTTTGTGGAGAAAAGATGATATAAATCCATTAAAAAGTTGTTGGTTAGCAACAGACAATGCGAGTACTTTTACTGGTTAGTGCTTTGTTATTACACAATAAGTGAATTGTTTGTTATATACAATACTTTCAGGTGTTCGAGAAGGTGTTCTAGCTAAAATACGTCGAAATTTTGGATGTGATTGGTTGGAGTTGAATCCATGTTTTGCACATTCATTTTCTTTAGTTGGAAGTTATGCGAGTTACAAACCAAAAACTCATCGTATGTTTTTTTATATCAAAAATTTCTTAGTTTGATGTTTAATATTTGTTTTAGCAAATAGTCCACCAGCTGTTGATGAAACAATTCTAAATCTTGAAACTATAATTAGTAGGATATATGGTCATTTTAGTCGAAGCAGTACTCGATTATTTAAATTAAAGCAATGGCAAAATTATTTAGATCTTCCAGAAATAAAATTCAAGAAATTATTTGAAATTCGATGGTCGACTATACAAGATTGTATTAGACCGATTATTATAAACGTTCTACCAGGTTTGTGAATATAAAAATAATGATGTAAAAACTTTGTCTAAATGTACTTTTATTTAGGTTCCCAATCATTATTAGCTTACCTCCAAGAAGCAGCAACTGATGTTACTTTAACTATTAGTGAACGTGAATCAGCAAAAGATTTATTAAAATCTATTTTGAACGACGACTTTTTATTAGCTCTACATTTCCATTATGATCTTCATGAAACTGTTTTAGGTGAGTTAATTATTCTTTTGAAATATTATTCATTTTTGTTTTGAAAAACATTTCAGGTCCATTAACCAAGATTATGCAAAAAGATAAACTTTCGTATTATAGTTTAATGGAAATGCTTCAAGAAAAAAAAAAAATTTTAGAAAGTTGGACATGTGAATCTTCATCAACAGTTGGTCCTGCATTATTCGATTATCTTCAATCAACAGCTGAAGAATCATTTGGAAGTTTTAGAGTAACTGTTGGTGATCGTAAAATGCTTTTAAATAATTGTTTAGAACACATTCATCGTCTTCTACAAGAACTAGATAAACGATTTACTCCATCTAAATTACAGGAGTGTTTGTCTATTTTGTTTGATCCACAATATTTGATCAAAAACAAGAGAAATATAAGTTGTCTTGATTATGGAAGATCTGAACTTGATTTTCTTCGTCAAAAATACAATAAATTTCCTAATTTTGATTCAAATGTTGTTCGTAATGAGTGGGAGTCTTTAAGCAACCATTGAGTGATTTTGCAAATACTTTTTCTACTGTTCAATCTACACAAACGTTTTGGAAAGATTTTATTGCTTTAAAGATTACGACAAATAGTAATTTTCTAAGTCAACATAAAAACATTTTATTATTATTATTTAATATATATTTAATTTCACCAACTAATTCTGCAGAATGTGAAACAGGTGTACGTAAAATATTGACTTCTCTAAAATTTATATCATACTGTCTTTTATATTTTTAGTTTTCTGCTGCTAATCGTATTCAAGCAACAGGCAGATCACGTTTAAAAATTTCAACATTGGATATTTTAATGACTATACGAATGTTATTAAAAGACGACTTACGAAGGTAAATTGAAAAGTTATTAAACTTTTATATAATTGCTTGTTTTTATAGTTCAAGATGTCAAGAAGTTGTTAATAAATCTTTTGAGTCTTGGAATGACTTAGATCATAATCGTCGTCTTCATCAAATACAGCTCTTGCTTGATACACCAGATGATTATACACCTGCTAATCAAGTTCGTTCAGTTTCCAAGCGAAGTCGAGATTATCTTCAATCAGAATTTATTGAAAACAAAAAGAAAAAAAAATCAAAGTATATCAAATGTAAGTTGTAGTATCTTCTGCCTGTACTTGTTTTTTAATCTCTTTTGCAGGTGCTAATGGTTGTAAACGAGAAGTTTCTGGAACTGATCCTAGTCAAAATGAAGCAATACTGTGTTGTCATCAAAATGAACAATTTCAATGGATTGATTTGGAAGAGAACTGTTCAAGATGGTTATGCAATTATTGTAGAATCAAACTTGCTATAGCAGTGGATTCAGCATGGTTCTGCGATGATCATGTAGATATGCATCATGAAGAAGATGAAAATGAAAATTTTGATTGATTTTTGCTGATATTTTTTTAAATTGAAATAGTAAAATCTTTAGTTTTTGTGTCTTTTTGCTGAAATAAAATGTTGATATGTACTATTTTCTCAAACATACTTTCGCTTGTATCAGATTGAAAAATAATTATGCGTTTATTTTTTGTTTATACAATCTTATATATTTGTATTATATTTTTGATCAGATAAAAAAATGAACATTTATTGTTTTTTTGTAGATTATATAATAAATTTCGATGTGTACATCTTGATACACTTTGCTTGCGAAAACAAAGT